TTCCGCTTTGGTCGATTAAGGTCCGTACTGTTGTTGACCTGTGTGAGTTGAGAATTTGTAGTACTAACCACATACTCCGGTAAGCCTAAACTTGGCGATTCTATTACGAGAATGGCTACTCGCGCCTTTGGGAGTGGAGAGATGGCGGAGTAGCGTGTACCCTCGTGGCGGGAATGTGGCGGATTTGAGGTGTCTTGTGCTCTCTCGGGTGGCGCTGGACCCGTTCTTGTTTGAGAGGATCCAAGGGTAGGTTGGTATATGTAGGTCGTGGACCTACATATGTCGTGTGGTCTGGAATTCCCAAATGGGTTTATAATCGGTTCGAATCGTCGTTGCTCCTCGGTTATGGAGACTCAATTCTCGATCATCATCGTAGATTAATAACCGGAACTCGAGAATGGTTCGAGAAAGTGTTGGATATGAAGTTTCATGATCTTAATACGGATCGTGTCGACTTTGTATATGATCCGATGAGATTTTAAATATTGATACAAAGAATTTTGTTAAAGTGCTTTTAAGCAAAAGAACTTTGATTATTGCTAAAGCCATACCTTGAATCCTGAGCTGCATTCCCGAGTCTTATCGGTTTTCATTTCGGTTAAGTCTTGTTGAGTACTTTTCGCACTCGGGGTTCGCTGACCCTTGTTGCGGTGAGGCTCATGAGCGGTCTGTTTTGGATCGTCTTTGCATGACCTTGTTCAAAGGCGATGATGATAAGTAATGTGGGCCTTTAAGGCGAGGCGGTGATATTTGTGTGTTTTGTATATATTATAATGCCACTCCACTACTACGTTTTGTAATAATAATCGAACTTAGTTTGTAAGGTTGGAAATAAATGTTTTGTAAACTAAGTTATTGTAAGACTTCCGCTGATTTACTCTGTGTTGATATTTGGATAAATGTTGTAATACTGCAATAACTCTGTAATGTGATCCTGCTCGGAAATCGTGGATGATTCGGGGTTCTCCGAGGACACCCGACAGTCTTCTTAAGTTATCGGTAACATATGCATAAATGTCAAAGGTCGTTGGACAGTGACAGGTGCATGTGGGCCCTATAATTTAGGAGGTTCTGCCACACCGTATCCATAGCATCCTTTCTTTCTTTGCTCATTTCTTTGATTGGTGAAGATGAAATCTTGAATTTGGATGGGCACACCCTTGACATTGAGCCTTTGGATCATTTTTTCCACCTTGTTGATAAGTTTGATTGATTCTTCATCAAGATCGGAGGTGGAGGAGGAAGATTGATCATCATCACTTGATTCATCATCATCGTCTTCATCTTCACTTGAGGAGCTTGAGCTTGAGCTTGTCTCAACTTGCTTGCCCTTCATCTCCTTTTTCTCACTACATGTGAGAGCTTTTCCTTTGCTTGATGAAGAGGCTTCTTCTTGACCCATCTTGCGTGATATTTCAAATGCCACTATCTTGTCAATGACTATGACCGAGGTCATGGTGCTCAAGTCCTCCATGTTGTGAAGGATGGTGATGATGCTTGCATATTTCTTTTGTGGTTGCATGGAGATGATCTTTCTCACAATGTCCGCATCATCTAGCTTGGTTAATCCTATTGAATGAAGCTCATTGATAATTAGATTCAAACGAGAATATATATCACGAACAAGCTCATCATCATTCATTTTAAAGGAATCATAATTTTGTTTAGCTAGACAATGTTTTTGCTCACAGACATTAGTTGTGCCTTTATGGAGCTCTTGGAGTTTTAACTAAATTTCATGTGCCATATTTAAAGTGAACACTTGGTTAAACACATCCATGCTAAAAGATTCAAACAAGCAATTTTTAGCTCTAGCATTGAAATAAATTTCTTTTTCTTCACTCTTTGTGGGTTTATTGGGATTCTTAATGGGTTTCATCCCATCACAAGTGACTCTTCAAACTCCCAAATCTACCGCCTCAAGGTGACAAGCCATTCTAGCTTTATAGTAGAGGAAGTTAGTGCCATCAAAGTGCGGAGGGCTAGAGGTATCCATCCCAACCATTCTAAATAGCGTTGGCTCAACGGCGGTGAAGCCAAAGGTCCAAATTGAGCCAACATGTCTCTGATACCAATTGAAAGGGAACTGTGACGCCTAAGAGGGGGGGTGAATTAGGCAACTTAAAACTCTAACTCTAAACTATGGCCTCTTTTTCTACCCATAGCAAAACCTATGCAAAAAAGATAAACTATCTAAATGTGCAACTACGGTTTTGCTAGTGTGTTGCTATCTCTACCACAAAAGGAGTTATGCAAACAATGTAAATACGGAAGCTAAAGAGTAAGGTAGAGATATGTAAACTCCCGTCGACGACTCCGGTATTTTTACTGAGGTATCGAGAAGCGCACAAGCTTTCCCCTAGTCCTCGTTGGAGCCCCTCGCAAGGGCCAAGATCTCGGTCGGGTAACTCTGTGGATAGCCCCGGGCCTTCCCCATGCGCAAGTGGGTCTCCAGTGTGCCTTCCGGCAAGCCTCTCCCGGACCGCTCCCCGCCATCTTCACTATCAAGCTTCCGATCGAACCACCACGGGCCTTGTTCCCTTCGGTACACGGTGGCGGCCACACCACAAACGCGGTTGGTGTGATCTCGTAATACTACAAGCCCCTCCGATGTACAACAATGGTGCATGCAAGCACCGAGTGGTAAGAGGTATGCAAACCTCACTAAACAGTAGGCCTAAACTTAGAGCAAGCGCATAAGCGGTGGTCTAATCAACATAAACACTTCGCAAAGCACCTACGTTAATCACCTAATGAATCACTGAGCACTATACAAGTGGAGATCACTAAAATGATGTATCAACACCCTTGGTATGTTTCCTCAGCTCCACTCTTCTCAAATGGCCGGTTGGGGGTCTATTTATAAGCCTCACTGAGAAAGTAGCCATTAGGGATGAAATCCCGCTTTTCTGGTACTGACCGGACGCTGCTGTCGTCCTGACCGGACGCGTCCGGTCGTCCCGACCGTTAGAGCACGCGATCAACTGATCGGTCGCTGATGGCGTCCGATCACATGCCACCGGACACGTCCGGTCGCAACTTCGCTGCTCTAGAACCTCTCTATACTCGATCGGACGCTGCAGTTCCTGCGTTCGGTCGATTAGCCGCCAGTGTCCGGTCAGTGCTGAGTGTGTTGCCGGGATGATGAACAGTGCCATTGGTGCGTCCGGTCACTTTCAGTCCTCAGCGTCTGGTCGCTGCTGGTGACGCCTGCTGTTGCCGAGCAACTGATCGGACGCGTCCGGTCCCTATAAGGGCTGCGTCCGGTGCTGCGTCCGGTCACCTCTGTGAAGCTCGTTTCTTCGCGATCTGGCATCCTGCTTGGTTCCAATCTTCGTGCTTAGACTTTGCTTGATATCTTGGGTCTTCTCTTGTGCTTTTAGGGTCTTGCTTAAGGTGTTGATCGTGGGATCATCACGTCGCCTTCGTCCAAGTCACGTCTTGCACCCTATTGAACTACAAAACAATCAACTACAAATTCATTAGTCCAATTTAGTTATGTTGGTCATCAAACACCAAAATCCAAAGTAAATGGGCCTAGGGTCTATTTTTCTTACAGCCTTCTTTGCCTTCTCGGCAGCAAGCTCCTCCTCCGCGGGCATCTTCGCCGCCGGCTTCTTCTCCGCCTTGGGCGCCATCGATACTGCAGATTGATTCGAGATGAGGGGTTTGCACTTTGCTCGATCGGGTTCGGGGGCAGGGGATTCGCTGTGTTTGCTAGTGATCGATGAGAAGAGGGGAGGGGTGTGATCGGTTTATAGATCACAAGCAATATGCGATGATTGGTCCAAAGGCAAGTGCCCCGGATCGATGACGTGGAGAGGTGCGAGCCATTGGTGCCGCTTCAAGCGGATGGCTGCGATGGGTTTCGACGCGGATTGCTGACGTGGTCTGCTGGTTGGGCTACGAGGAAGGTAGAACAAGGCAGGAAGCTATCCAGGAACTGGATTTTCGGGCCTGCAGGGCGCAGAGGTGGGGCAGGCGAGCGGCCCACTTTGGGCCTATTTGGTTTGTTGGCTAATTCATAACTAGGCTAAGATTGTAGCCATGTTAGCCCAGCCCAGGTTCAACCAAGCCAACATGGGGCTGTTTGGTTGGCCTGTTATGTGTGGCCTGGTTGATCTGTGTTGGTGTTTGGTTGGGTGAATAAGATCCTGCACAAGTTGGGCCAACTTGGGGCGTGTTTTGTGGGATGTGAACTGGACGGTGCCCTCACCACTTCTAGGAATCGGTGGCGTTACCCCCTCCCCGCCGTACGCCTCGTTATAAATCGGAGCCTGGTGACCCTTCGCTTTCTTCACCGGTCCGTCACCCCTCGTCTTCCTCACTGCGCCGTCCTCTCTGCTTCCTTTGCTCCCTTCCTCGCGCCCGTCGCCGTCTTCTCGCGCTCCTCCTCGACCAGCTCCGATGGCCGATCTAGCCCTCCCCGTGGAATCCGGTGCGGAGCGCCTTTGCCGCAGCCGCTGCAGGGGTGCGTACGGGTGCACCTGTGTGTCGCGCTCTCCGTCTTCGGCTGGGTCGCGGTCGAGGACCCGTTCGTAGCAGTCCGTGGATAGTGACTACGGCAACTCCTCCTTCAACACCAGCTCCGAACGGGCATCCGAATCCCAGGTGACATTTATTCCCCTTCGACCTCCCCTAGGGTTTATGTTAAAATTCCCAAATGCCATTTTTTCTGTTCAAGATCGATGACATTGAATGTTTCTTGTGTAATCTATAGTGCATTTGATGCTTAATTGTGGTTTGCTGTCAGCCTCCCCTAGGGTTTATGCTAAAATGCCCAACTTTGATCCCTAGGGTTTATGTTAAACTGCACAAATCACATTTTTCTTGTTCAAGATCGATGAGATGGAATAGTTCCTGTATAATCTATAGTACATTTGACCCTTAATTGCCGTTTGGTGCCATATTGGTGACCAATTTATGTTTTTCCTCATCTGTCAATAGGGCAACAGTGACACCTCAATCCCAGATGCTGCTACGAGCATGATTGGAGTGGTATGCATGTCGTTAGGATTAAGAAGTGCAACCATGGTCGTCGTGCTGTGATGAAGAAATGCTGGGGGAAAGAACACTGGCAGGCACTTCTTGGGCTGCCCAGTGGAGGTATCAACAGCATTTTGATATGCTTACAGTTCTTGCTGTCCTAGTAATGTTACAGTGATCAGTGCCAGTTTGTGGAATGGTTGGATGAACCATGGCCAGAACAGGTGCAGGATTGCCTGAAAGAGCTATGGAAGGAGCTGAAGGTCACTAGGCGCTGTGAAGCAAGGGCGAATGAAGCTTTGCATGATGCCCTGGAGAGCAGTGACACTGCTGTCTTGGCTAGAGTTGCCTTGCAGGAAGAAGTGAATCGTACCAAACATGTGGCTCAGCGCATCTGTAACACCTACGAGAGGAAGGCCGCCGTCACAGTGATCGACAAGAGCAAGATGATGTACCTGGTCTACTGCCTGCTTGGAGTGATCGTCTTTCTGGTGGTTGCTATCCTGTTCAATGCCAAGTGATGCAAAGTTCCAGCTGATGTGGTCTTTTGTTGATATGCCGAAGCCTCTGTTAGTATCAGTATTGGTTGGATTAGTTACTTCAGTAGTTCTCGGTTACTTGCAGTACTCAACTGGTATGCTTAGGATGCACTAGGTAAAGTGCTGAATGCAGTGGAACCTCATATTTTGATTGTGCCCATTACGGACTGAATGGTGCACTTCTGAAAGTTTGATCTTGTGCACTGCATAGCACTGATGACTGTTAGCCTAGCACTGAATGTGTTAGCATATTTTGATTGTGCCCAATTCGTAATGATTGGTGCACCTCTTCTGTAAGTATGTCAGTAAACTGTTATGGATGGTTCGAACTCATATGTTAGTACTATGAATCAATTATCTGGAACTTGGTTTACATGATCATTGCAGATATGTCAGTAATATGTAATGGATGCCAAATTATCAAAGATTCCAGTCAAATGTGCCATCTGATAATTGCAGATTTGGATGTAGGTTCGTATTACAAGGTTTTTGACATCCTGGTTCACATAAATAGTTCTTAAAAGCATGTCCATCTACTTAAGATGCAGCAAATAGGCTTGGAAAACAACTACAACTAGGAGCAGTACAACACAAAGGTCCTTGGTACTTAGAAAATTGATCTTCACATCTGCTTTTTCCTTGCCTACTTCCTTCACGATTTCCTCAACATTGGGCTTGGCTTGCGCTTGCTGATACTTGAACAATGCTTGTTCAACTTCAGCCCTAGATGCAAAACTCGAGTGGAGATTGTTTGCATAACCTGACACTTGACGGTGGCAATCCATCCACGTCGTGTACACTCCAGGCTTGCGGCCAACAAACACAACATAAAACTTGTTCTTCATCACTGCATGGATGCATAGATACAACATACAACTCATAAACACATTGCCCGTCAACAACAAATTACCAGAAACAACAGATTCACAAGTGATATCATTCAACTAGGCAGATAGCATAGATAGCAAGTAGCAGTCAACAATGCATCTTACATCAGCTAGCTAAGCATGACAAATGATAAAGCCATATTTAGTTCATCAATGCATAATGCAGCAACCAATTGTGATAGGTGACTACCCTAGATAGTTCAGTGCTACCATAATCTAGCCTAAACAAGCACATGTGGTTCAAACATTACATCCAATGTTACACCTCCAAAAAAGGGTTAAGTTGCTACATCAGAAGCACATGAAGATGGCTTTTCTTCATCTCACATCTCTACTTCACTGGAACGCCATCTGGCCTCTGACCTTGGCCAGGTGGGTGTTGATCCACAGCTCCTTGTCAGATGGCGACATCTCCACAAAGACCATTGCAGGGGCCTTGTGATCCATCAGGTAGTTGAGGCATGTCATCAAGTCACTCCTGGAGAAGTTTGGGCACCCCATGACTGCTTCATATATGCCAGGTGCCGCCTCTGAGTGGTTACCTTCACTTAATGCAGCGTTGAGTCCCCAAATGGCATCAGTGAACCCTGTCATCAGAGCTACATCATCTTGATTCAGCATCCTCTTCCTCTTCTTCTTGTCATCTGACTTGTCCTTATCCTTGAGAGCAGCAGTATCTTCCTTGGTAGCAGGTGGAGCTTCATTGGAGTCAACATCAATGGTCTCGGGTTCAGCTGCAGGTTGGTCCAGAGCTTCATTGGAGCCCATTGCAAACCTCCCAGTAGCCACGCCACAACCAAAAATGGTTTGCATGTACTGGTAGTTCACAATGGGAACATTGAGAAACTCTGCATCCTTTGAGTGATCCTGCAAAATGGCACTAATTAGAAGAAAGCTCAGCAGTTCATGTGTAGAGATGCATACAAACTAGCTCTTGAGAATTTCAGGTTCAAGTGTACTGATTACCTTCACATGACCATGGTAGTGTTTAGGGTCCAGTGTAATCATGCATAGGTCCTCATCCCAGTTAGCACCGCTGAGGTCCTTAAGCCTGCAGATCTTCACCCATTTGGTACGCCACTTGCGGAGGTGGTTGTAGACCTGTGTACCTGAAACTTGTTGGCCTATGTAACTCTGTAGTTCCCTAGCCACTGCATTGACATGACAGTCCTTGAACCCCTTGTCTGTCCTAACTCCTTCAGTAACCAAGTCTGAAAACTTGCTCAGGACATAGGTAGACATCACAGGTGTCCAGTTGAGCCTAGCTGCAGCACCATTTCCCTGTGGTGCAGGTTGCACCTCTTGCACCTCACTGACATCGTTATTTTGGACATCCCCCCAAAGATGTCAAACCCATCAAGTCCAGCCATAGCTACCCAAAATAAAAGTAGTACATGCAGAAGAAAATAAAGCATGGAGTTCACAATATCAGAGGACAACAGAAGAACATGAATAAGTTAACATGGAACATGAGTAAGTGAACATGGAAAATCAAGACAACAGAACAGTAAACATAGCAATTTCAGTTCAGATTACAATAAAACAGTAGATAGTAAACTCAGTTCAGATGACAAGACAATAGTAGGCTGCAATTTAAGTTCATATTACAAACAACAGTAGCTACCAAATTCAGTTCACACTACAAGACAGAGAATGGCATCATTGCCTTAGGAATGGTCTCATAAACATAACACAATTGAAACATCACAGAGTTCATCCATACTGCTGCTGGAACAAGCTTCAATGGACCCCATTCCTAGTTTGCCACATCTAGTTGGCCCAGGTATCCCTCTTGGATGCCCAAGTATTGTTATCACTAACATTGTCATTTGGGGCTGCCTCATTTGTAGGGTTGGCCTCCCAATCAGACTCTAGGGGGATGACTTCATCAACACCATACCTAAGTATCCAGTTGTGCAGGATACAACAAGCTAACACAAGCTTCACTTGGGTGGTGTGTGTGCTTCCTGCCCATGAAAGCAGCTCTGTGTTTCTCAGTAACTCGAGCAAGAACATGAGTACCATCAATGGCACCAACACAGTCCTAAACAAAAAAGGTACATCAACATGGAAGTCCTAAAAGTGAAAATGGAATAGGTGAAATAAGAAACTCCAACCTTGAAGAAAGGATTCCATTTTCTGCTATGCTGAATTTTGGGATGGACTGAAGTAGAAGGAGCCACTATCATTTCATTTCTGAGTTCACCCACTGCATAAAGCACTTCCTGGAAATACCTACTGATAATTTCAGTAGACCTCTTGAAAGTGTGTTTGATGACCCTAAATCTTGTGTTACGCCCAACCACTAGAAGGAACATGGCAAGCTGTTCTTCAATCCGACAGTTGATGCTATCCCTGAGCAGGCCCCTATTGCAAAACAAGTCGCAGAGCTAGAAGAAAGGAGCTCTCTTCATCCTAAGAAGCTCCACACAGCTGCTGTCATCGCTATGGTGGATGAACCTAAGGTTTGTTGCCCTTTCTTGATCTCTGACAGACATTGGGCCATACCTAATCCCTCTCCTACTGGATGACATCCATCTGAATCTAAGAAACACCCAAGCAGTCATGACGACAACCATTGCTGCACCCCTAACGATGAGCCAGTGACGCCTAATTGAGGGATCCATGATGCTAAACAAGAAATTGGGACTAAGTATTAGTACAACCTCAACCTTAACCAAATCAAACGATCGGCTGCGACACCAAAGGGTGCGCCACCCAGATATAGTCAAACATGGATGAAACCCTAAAGGTCAATGCAAAGAAAGATGGATCCGAACCAGAACATTACGCCAAACAAGAAATGCGGCTACCAATTACTCGGACCAAAGCAGTAGTATGAACGAAACCCTAATCAGTTCTAAGGACCGGCTGCGATAGGACATGCTGCGCCACCTAGGTCCACAGCAATCATCGACCAAATTCCTAAAGCTCGGCATAAAATCGAACCATCCGTAACAGATCTAGAACAAATCCGTAGCAGAACAAAGAACGAAACAAGAAAACACGAAGCAGATGGGGATCAGACCGCGTACTAGTGGCCCAACTCGCTTACCAGATGCGTCGATGAGGTTCACCGCCACCGGCGGCACCCTGAGGACGACGAAGACGGAAGGGGGCGAGAGCGAGAGCGAGAGTGAGACCGAGAGTGGCGCCGCAGAGAGCGGGTGAACAGTACCCGGGAACCCCTAGGAGGGTGGTGAGGCACAGCTTATATTCGGTGGCTACCGAAAGCCACCCGGGCCCACGGGACGGCGCGGCCGCGCAGCTTGGCCAAGCCAGACCCCAGAAAAATGGATCTCAAATCAGTTCTTTGGGAGCCAGGCCCAGGTATGTACGGCGGCCAGCTGAAGCCTGGCTAAGGCCCAAGAATAGGCAACCAAACATCCACATCTGAGCTCCAGCAGGCCTGATAAAGGGTTGGACACCCAACCAAACAGGCCCTTTGTGGCTATTGGTTCTAGGCTTTTGGCGAAGGTAGAGCTTGCTTGGTTTCAACGCTAGCCCTGTGTTGTCATCATTGGTCACAAGCGTCTAAAATCAGACGTTTAGACCATGTCAATGATTTGACGAGCCATGATTTTGGCTAGTATTTGGTTTGCTACCAAAACTTGTCAAAATCTCACATTTGGCTTGCCAAATCTATGGCAATGCTTTTGCCCAACTTTTGGCTTACCAAACTTTGGCATGGCAAATTTTGGATGTCAACCAAACATGCCCTAAATGTTAGGCAACTTCAGCGATCTTTGAAAGGTAGTGTAGATCTTTTCCAATCCAAAAAAAGAAAGGTAGTGTAGATCACAATGTTTTTTATTCTTCACATTTATCTATGTAATAGGTAAGGGATCACAAACAAGTTGTCTAGTTCAAATTCTGACTTGACATACGAAGGGTTTAGGGTTTAGGGAGCCTAATGAGAAGAGTGGATGTACACTCTCTACTTTCTAAATACTAATGGATTCTTTAATCTTCAATTAAAACTTCCTAATCACTCCAATAGACCAAAGCATTCTCTTGGACCCAATAGTGCTCAAATGCATGAGATGATAGACTATACATAGGCCAAGCAAAAAAAACTAGCTGTTGGAACTTTAGTCAGCCAAAAACAGTGCACCGGATTTATCCTATCCTACATCGGAGAATTCTGGTAGCTTCCACTAGACACAACTCCAAACTAGCCATTGTTGTATGGACAAACTTTGTGCTGCAGCAGATAGTTACGATGACACTATTTCTGCTCTGTAAACTACACCCTCTCCATGACTAACCTTTGGTGTAATCTCCAGTGCCTTTACACCTCTCAGTGAACTGCATGTCCTCTCTGTGGTGTCACTCCGATGACCACACCAGAACTATGCCATGCATAGTCAAAGCAAACCCTACCCAAGCACTGTTCTAAAGCTCCGGTGGTTTCTCTAGTGTAGACAACGTAGAGCTTCACTGTTTATAAAAGCAATGCAATCTCTTCCAATTCAACTCCTTTGAGTTTGGCTTTGGGTTTCATCCATCCTCGGCTTCATTTGAAGTACATGTGCTAGTTTTCACAAGTGTGCACTACATCCACTTAGTAGGTTCACTTAGATCAAGCTACCCTACATACCCCTCTTCGTAGGACCAAAGGAGAAAATAAGAATCTAGCTACTCTAGGTGTATTTCAACACCAAACGACACTTAAACTACCTCACCCTAAGCCTAAATGTATATCTTTTAAAAAAGATGGAGAATCATAATTAATTAAGAGCATGGAAACCATAAGAGCTCAGTTTATATGCATTATTGTGACGTCACTAAATAATGCCGTTACAAATACACGTTAGCCACAAATGGTTGTGTCGTCATTATTCGTCAAAACCATAGAGGCCTAGATGCTTTTCATCGATAATGTTAGCTATTTGTTTTGATGTGAAAAAAAACTAGTCAACATCTCTTCTTGGAGTGTACGGTGGCTAAGCAGATGTGGCTAGTTCTTTCTACTAATTGGAAAATTTGGATGTTGAGTTAGGAGGGAAGTTTTGATCCTGGTAGTCCTCGACTTATATAGCAACAAAAAATTCTTCATTCATAATAGAATTGATCTTTGCTTTCAGGATGCTCGCTGGAATAGAGTTTGTTGCTGAACATTGTTGGGATGGAAATGCTCGGCTGGCAGATACCAGATTTTGGCAGACTTCAGAAAACATAAATGGGTATAAGAAGAATGGCAAGTTCTTATATCAAGATGATACGCTTTCCTCCAAGGTTTCTCGATGGGTTCACCTACAGCGAACTAGGAGATGGTGGTTTTGATGAACATGCTGTCCCTGCACGAGGTTTCCTTCCTGGACGTTGATAACTGAGTTCTTTAGAAGTGAAGGCGTCAAGTTCCCTGTGAAGTGAAGGCGTCAGGTGTATCCAGAGCCTGCAACGTGGGTAAATGATCGCCTCCTAATGGTTACCACGCATTTGATCAGCAAACTATCCAAACTTCCAAAGAAATGGCGTAGTATATATTTAACATAACAGAAGCCTTCTTAATTAATCCAACACAGAATTTGCTGGATTAACACGACATGAATGCACCATTCCAACTAAATAAGCCTTCCTCACATACTCACCTGTTATTCAACATTCCCGCTACAGAAAAGCTCAACATTTCTCCACTGATCCGACCCCTTTACCCTCAAGCTTCTCCATTGCCGGAGTCAAATAGCTGTCGCAATAACCGGGTGGCTCGTGGATAAAGCATGAGATCACATCACGCAGAGTCACAACACCGAGAACCTCAAGGTCATCATCCACTACATATATCCTGTGGGTTATTCTTGATGCAATGCTGTCAATAACACTACCAAGGGAAGCGTCAGGAGTGCAGGTGGGTGGTGGCTTCACCAGGCAATTGTTCCCTGAATCAGGAAGAGTAGAGCCTAGAGTCCTCATGAATTCAATGACCGTAAGTTGCCTGTACGCAAGAAACCATTAAGACATAAGGGATACATTATAAAAAAAGAACACAGGGACGCACACTATAAGATAGCTTGATACCTGAAATTTGAAAATAAGTCGGGTCTAAGCAACAGAAAGCGGATGTCCCTTATGCTAACACTGCCCACAAGTTTTCTTTTGGGGCCTTCTACTACTGGTACACCACCAATCTTGTTATCCTTCATGCACTTGAAAGCTTCTAAGATTAGATCATCACTGTTGACGGTGATAACCTGAAAAAAAACACACAAAATTGTCATATCAACATTTACCAGTGTCTGTTGAAGAGGCAAACACATAAGGAACTCTATAATGTAGTGCTTTGAAGGTTGCACAAGTAAATTAATCAGAATATCATAGAACATAGGGAACTGGCTCTTCTATTAAAAGGGTGGAATTCAACTGAAGCAGCAATAAGAGGGAGACAAAAATAACCTCATCAATGGACATAAATGGAAGTCCTAAGTCTGAAAGAGGAAGTGCAGAAATGTAGTCAAACCAGTCCCTTCCTTTACATTGCTGCAGTCCTTTGACAACACCAGCCTGAGTAATGAAGTTTTGATGATAGGTTTTTCGGGCTCAATCACAGGGACATTTCTCAATCTGTACTTAGAGAGCAACAGAAGTACAGTCAGCATGGAACTGTCCAGTGTAATGGGGACGAAAGGAGACCAGTGGTATGACTCTACAATCGATCGAACCTGCAGTAGTAAAAGAACAACAGATGATCATCATTCAATATTTAACTAGAATAAAAGGGTCTGAACCAACTTGAATCTTATCAACAAAACACATTGCAGGTAATAACAATAAAAAAAAGGCAAGATACGTCTAAACTTTAAACCATGGGGCAACGGTTGCAATATATGGTTCAACCCTAGGGTAACCAAACTTCAGTTTAGCTACACAGAAAAACATTAGGTCAAGTGTGTTCCTTTGAGTGGATGGATTCTTAAATTTGATCAATGCTAACAAAAGAAAACAGAGTTACTATTTATTCATTCAGTGGTTACATGCATAACTGTTCAGGCCAGGGCCAAATGGCTTACTGTTGTTGATCTGAAAGGTTCCTGCTGAAGCAAAACTTTGTAGAAATCCTCCCCTAAATGATCTGCAGCAGTCAGCCCATCCTTCGCCACACCCTTTTCAGCAGTTAATCTACCAGCAACAGCAGACCCCAATTGCGGCTGCAGTTAAGCCAGCTACAGCAGCTGGGCCAGTTGCACCCAAAGCTGCCACCCCAACCGCACCAACAGCACCCATGCCAACTCCGGCCACAGTTGCTGATGCAGCTGAGAGTGCAACAGCAGCAAGCTCAGCATTTTCTAGTACCCAACGGATGATTGCTGAGTAATTGATGACACCAAGGTACCTCCCCTGCCAATCAGTAGGAACCCCAGGTTCTGGATTCAGCACTGGTGCTGCCCTTATGTTCTGTTCAGAGAGAGTCCTTACAGCGTCAAGGACAGAAGTATCACCAGGAATTTCAATTACTGCATAAAAAACATTGAGGATTACAAAATGTACAATAAAGGAGATGAAACACATAAAAACAATTTGAGTAGTTTTGTTTTGCAACAGGGTGTACCTCGACCAGTTGGAACCTCGGGGAAGGATGAGACTGGAATCTGAGCAAAGGCAGCAGTTAGCGATTCTTGCAAAGACAGTGGCAACTTCTTCTTGGACTGGATAGCTTCAAAGTAGGCATCACAGCTTGGGAATTCAGGGTTTTCCTCGGGCTGATCCATGTCTACAAGAAATTGTTGAAGAATTAATCAAACAGACATCGTCTATCTACACTGTAACCAACTAACACATCACACATGCAGGGCAGGCAATATCAAGATAAGGTTTGCCAGTACAACTGAGAATGGATTGGCTTTACTCCAAAATCCAGTTGGACTTTGGCACCTGGACTTCGTTGGATTTGGACTCAGTTGGATAAAAGACATCCATTCCCTTTACATCCAATACCTTTTGGTTATGTCGGATAAATAAAACAGGGTAATCCAAGTTCTATTGGACATCTGTTCCTGTTCGGGGCAGCCAGCGAATTTGCCGCGGTGGTGGCGGCGGCTGCTGTCACAGGGTGGGCGCTCTCGCGGCCAGCTCCGTCAGTGCTGGCCGTGGCCTTCTTCGCGTTCTCCTCAGCCAGCACGTCCCCCAGCTGGTCTCCAGGCATTCAAGGGTTGAGGCTATTAGGGCGAGCAACTTCCGCCCATCGGCTCTTAGCGCGAGGTGTCGTGATTGACCGGGGCGCTCGTGCCGGTGAAGCAAGTACAGATCGTCAGCATTCCTACCCCTTCTCGGTATCCTCCATCTCGATTTGAAGGTCCGTATGCTTGCTGCCCTCAAGTACCCCTACCCCCCATATCATAGTTCTTGTCAATCGTAGTACCAGTATCCAGTGTTGATTTCTTGTGGATCATAGTGGACATGTGCAACAATGATTGCTTGATGTAGAGATTGAAACGCCTGAGCAATCCATTTCCTCTTACTACATTCAATTTTAGTCTGCTTGGAAGTTGGCATGCAGCAGAAAAAACTAGAGAGTAGAAATTGGGGTTAGTATGTAAAGTTATCTGTAAAAATTTATGTAAAGGTCAAAGTTATCTGTAGATGATCCACAGTTAGAAGTGGCCTTTGATAGGCAGGGCTTCTTTTTCCTGTTGATTCATTCTTTCAATCAATGCCTCAGATTGTGCCTGCAGAAGAGTGACACATCTTAGCTTATTTCTTTTTGCCTGGTTACCAAATTAGTGTAGGATGATGTAATCTTCTTGATCATCTGTTCAGCTCAGCGCAACTGATTTGTGCCAAGATATTGACATGGAAAATACTTTTTTTGTAATCACTAAACTCAGAATCAAGTACTGATAAAATCAAGAAAGGAGTGGCAGACTGAAGTGAAAGAATTGAAGTTTGTTTACAGTGACTATAATAAATGAAGAAATTAAATTTTGGTTAGAGTACCAGCAAACACACAGAGGTGGCAGGTCAGGGATATAACTTTGTTATCCTGATCCCTTGTTTGGGTTTTTACGGTTTGGGTATGGGTTAGTTATAGTATGCCTGCTGTACTGGTGTGTATGTATGTGGGTTCTTTGCTGGACCAGCAAAGAGATGCCTGGCAGGTTTTATATATACCAAACAGGGCAACAAGGGAGTGCATAGTCATAGTTCTTTTAGTAACTTGTAGCATGAAATTCTTTGTGGTTCCAGTTATTGCATTTTATATATACCAAACAGTTTTTATTGTTAGTACCCTCTGAATAATATGCATGCAGGTTTTATTGTTAGCTTCCAACTGCAATCCTGCATAACATAGCACTTTTGTTTTGGGAATGGTTATCGACTCTGCGATCTGATCACATACTTTTCTTTTCTATAGGTCAACTGGAAGGATGCCTGATGAGGGTCCTGATGAAGCCGTACATAATTCGGGCCGCAGAAGCAGGAGAAGATCTCCAGTATGGAACTATTTTGAAGAGTTGCCAAATGAGGGAAAAACCATCTGCATCCATTGTAGATCAAAACTGGCATATCATCAAGGTCTTGGAATATCACATCTAAGGAACCATATTACATCTGCCTGCAAAGAACTTCCTCCAGATATAGATCGCGGTTCGATTTTTCCAAAGGTTGTCCCTGGTGTAGATGTTCGCAGTTTTGTATTGGACCCAAAGATAGTCAGGGATTTTATGACCAAGTTTTGGATCACATCAAATATCTCCTTCAAAAAGATAGAAAATGGATTCTTTAAGAGAATGATGAAATCAGCCCATCCAAGCCTTGAAGTTCATGGTCGACATACACTCAAGAGCGATTGCATGTCAGTGTATCAAGAAGAGAAGAAAAAGATAGCAAGTGGTTTTTCCAATATAGATTCATGTGTTAGCTTCACTTCAGATATGTGGACTTCAGTTCAGAATCTTGGATACATATGTTTGACTGCACATTTTATAGATGAAGAGTGGAATTTGCACAAGCATCTCATCAATTTTAAACAAGTTCTTCATCCTCGTAATGCTGCTGCAATTCATAGTAAAATCATGGACTGCCTTTATGAGTGGGATCTATCCAATAAAGCTTTAGCTTTTACTCTAGATAATGCCACCACAAATGATGGAGCTGTACGAAAGCTATAAGGCACTCTTTGGAGACGTATGCCCTTTCAAGGTGCTGATCTTCATGTGAGGTGTTCAGCTCACATTCTGAACTTGATTGTCCAAGATGGAATGGAAACCATACAGAATATCATTGAGCCTGTTTGGAATGTCATTAAGCATATTTCATCATCTAGCTCTCGTCTGCAGATTTTCAATACCATTCCGCACCAATTTAATCTTCGACCTAAGAGGGGATTCACCCTAGGTGTTCCTACAAGGTGGAACTCTACTTATGACATGCTTGAAGAAGCTCTTCAGTATAAGGATGCCTTGACCCACTATGCTAATCTGCAGAACATTCAAGGACCCAACCTTGAGCAATGGAACTTGGCAGAAAGAGTTTGCAATTTTTTGAAAAATTTTGCTGATGCAACCAAAGTCTTCTCACAGCATAATTCTCCTAGTTCGCATAGGTATGTTGAAGAGGTTTGGGGGATAAGGGAACTACTCCTTGATGAAAAAAAAACATGAGTGATGAATTCTTGAAGGTCTTGTGTGATGACATGAAGTCAAAGTTTGACAAATATTGGGATGAACCTAACAAAATCCTTTTTGGTTGCGTCGCTGTTAGATCCACGGTACAAGTTATTCTTTTTGAGGTATTGTCTCATGAAATTTTATGGAGAGGAAGTGGCTGATAGCAAAGCAAATGCTGCTCTTACTTGGTTTAAAGCGTATTATTCTCATTACGAGAGCATGCTGCAAAGGAGTTCACAGAGTACTGCTTCTTCATCGCCCGAAGTGGGTGGTTCAGCAAGTACACTTTCTTTGTTATCTGGAAAACGCAAGCTGGGGCTGGAATTTGCAATGTTTAGGCATCAACGAAGGCCTCATCGATCAAGAAGATCAGAAGTTGACACTTACCTAGATGATCCATTAGTTCATTCAAGGGAGGGTGAAGAATTTGATGTGCTCAAGTGGTGGAAAAGAAACCAAGATCAATATCCTACACTAGCTAAGATGGATCACGACTTTTTGGCCATTCCATTGTCAACGGTTGCCTCTGAATCGACATTCAGCACTGCTGGCATAATAATTGACAAACATCGCAATTCTCTAAGTTCAGAAACGGTGGAAGCACTCATATGTGCAAAGGATTGGCTCAAAGTCTACCTATCAGATGATGAAAATGAAGATGGTAAAACATTTTTTTGATATGCAATTAACATTTGATGATATGTCTAGTTATGACCTGTTTCTGTGATTACATATCTTGTTACTGCTGTGAAAATAAAAATGTTTTGGGAATGCGAATGCCTGTGAACACCTCATTTTTTTGGTGCAGGAACTGTGACAGAAGTGACTACTGCTCGAGTTTCTCACCGCGTGGATGTGAGGATTTAGTGAACACCTTGCCCATACTCATACAGATTAGCATCTACAGCTTAAATTCTTCTGTTTAAGTTAGATACTATGGCTACTGATTTGCTTCTCAAAAAGATGTATTGATTAGCATATACAGCTTTAGCTTCAGTTATTAAGTTAAAAAAGGTATATCAGTTGCTTTAAAGTTTTTTGCTGTATTTGCTTGCAACTTATGAGCAGACATGTGATGTATGAATGATGAATTCCTGGTATGTTTAAGGGCAAATATTTGTTTCTGCATTTGCCAGTTTTGGGTTACCTGCATTCCTTGCTGTGGGGCAGCTTCTCCTTCACCTTGACGTCGGTGCCGGCGACAGTCCAGTCCGACGTTGTCCTGCACGTACACCAGCACCGTGACGGCCAGCACGTACACCAGCACGTTGTCCTGCACACCGATGCTGACGAAAAAGTAGAACCAGCTGAAGAAGCGCAGCATCTTGTCGTGCTCGCCGTCGTGGGACTCGTAGTTAGTTGGATTGTGTTGGATGGATTGGACTTTGGTGAAAGTCGGACTGGACTGGATTGGACGTTTCTAATAATTATAAGGGCTGGACTGGTTAGGGACGTTGGTTTAGTCCATATTCTGCTGGATTCCTACGTTCGGATTTTGGATGTGCATCCATTCTCAGGTGTATTTGCCAGCATATATAAATAATACCCATTACCCAATTAATGAAATATAAGTAACTCTGATTGCAGGAACTACACGCACAGTTTAGTCTCTAATTAGGTATCCTCTCAAAACAACAGGGTGACATCCCTATTGGGCATTACAACAAACATCCTATAGGCATGATTTGAACTTGAATTCATCTATCTATATCATTCCAAACCACACAAACAAAAACTCCATCGACTTTCCTACACATGGAATCAGATGAATCGGCGTAGTGGGTTCAGTGACTCCTACAAGAAGATGGATAAGTTTGTATCACCTTGGGCTCGGATGCAGGAACCAAGTAGCGCCGCCTCCCTGGCCCGGGAAGAGATTGGGACGGAGGAAGAACTAGGAGGTGTGATTTTGGCGGATCTGCGATCCCTGTTCCCGTGCCTCCGGTTCTTGGACGGCGATGGGAATTCGGAAACGGTGGGCGGCAGGTTTCTTTCTTGGTTCCAAATCCAGGGGCAAAGGCGCCCGGAGCCCGGAGGAGAGGGGAAGGCAGGGGAGGCGCGACTGGAGTCGCCGAACGCGAGAGATGGCGAGAGGCGACCGCACCACGTGTACGCTACGTAAGCAGGATAGATAATTCCTTCGTCTATACTTTCCCTTCACTGCTGGGCCGGACTTATCGTGAAAAAACAGGCCTATGATCCCACCATTGACCTGGCCCAGCAAACGAAGCCTAATTTGATTATTCGACCGCTATTTTTTTTTCTAAAAGAAATGGAAATGAGAGTATCATCTCCCGGCGTAGTTTGGCCAGAAAAAGCTCATTTTTTGCCAGTTCATGAGTTGCCTTTGATTAATCGTGAACTTTACCTAGCCAGTAGAGTTTGGTTAGTACTATTCTTTTGTTCCATTTGACATTTTCAAATTCATAACGATCGTATCCTTGTTTCTTCCTCCTCTCCTTTTTTTTGATCAATTCTTCCTCCTCTCCTAGTAGGAACACCGATGAGCCGCCGGCATTTCCTCCATTTCCTCAATTGAACTTCTTCACGGCACTATTGTTCTTGGGCTCTTGGCATTGTCCTTGTCTTCCTTCGTTGTATTGGAAAAAGTCCATATTACTCTCTCCAAGTTTGGCCTATGTCCAAATAACCCACAAATTAACATTTGGTTCAATTTACTCCATCCAACTATTTAAGTTGGTTCAACTAACACCTTCAAAAGATTTTTTTTGTTTCTCTATGTACAAATTATATTTTAGTTTCAAATTTTGTAAGGTGATAGAGGACATTGTATTTTGTATTAGAAAAATGCACTATGAATTTTTTATCATTATGTTTTATACGATATTGTACCTCCTGTGTTAATTTATTATTAAATTTCCTAAGCTATCAAAATAGTGGCAAAAAGTTAAGATATATTTTTCTAACATAACTTATGATGTTCTCTATCATATCACAAAAAGTTGATATTAAGACTCAACTAATATGTGGAAAAACAAAAATAACAAACCATGTTAAGGGGTAAACTAGATCAACTGAAATAGTTGAAGGGAGTAAATTGAACCAAATATAAGTTTATGGGGTAATCTAGACATATGTCAAACTTAAGGGGAGTAATTTGGATTTTTTTCCCACTCTTTTTGGTGGCTCCCTGTCCCTGGTCATTGCCTACCATCGATAGGTTGACCTAGTGGCGCCTCTATCCTGCCACCATCCAATCCGCTGGTCCTTCACCACACCATGCCCGGGGGCATCCCATTCCCATCTCCCGATTGCTAATAGCATACCGTCCCACCAAAACCAACCAACCTGCCACGCAGGTTTTCTTCTTCTATTCCCTCCATTTCAATCTATAAGGATGTATTTAGTTGCTTGATCTGTATGGATGGGACGAAACCATCCATGTATGAGGTGTGTTTAGTTGGTAGATCAGTGGATAAGAAAATCCATGGATAGAGAATATTCTCCCTAGATGCTGGATTTTGTGGTTGAAAAATCCGACGAACCAGCTTATCTATGTCTTCTTATCTTTATCATTAATAAATAATTTAAAGATTGTTAGTATGTTGTATTATTACTTAATAATTATGATGGTAGAATTAGTTCTGATAAGTGCTAATATATTGATTAGTGCATGTTTTGTGTGCTAATTAGAATATTAGTGGTGCTAATTAACATATTTTATTTTAAATTAGTGATTATCATGAAAAAATAGTATTAGTGTACATTTATTAGTGTCTAATTAGTTGTTATTATTTTTAAATAATATATATAATTAGTCAACTATTCTCATCACATCCATCCAACCAAACGTACATCATAGATATACTTCTCCCAATATCCATGTATCGCCATATCCCATCCAACTTCGTCCTTGAACCAAACGCATCCTAAGATGTTTTGACTTTTTTTTCGAGAACACGACTTCACGCGTATTTTACTAAGAAGGTTTTGACTTTTTTTGAGATATTGCTATTATTATGTATCTACTAGACATATTGTATATCTAAGTGTACAACAAAAGTTATGTATCAAGATAGAAAAGTCAAAACGTCTTATAATTTGAAATAAAGGAAGTAAGACGGATGCTCCTATTGAAAAATCCCCTCCTACAACCCAACCTAAACCAAAATCTTGAGTCATCTGAATGTTTGTCATCAATTACAATTGACGAGGAGCTTGCCTTCAACACAAATTTAAGAACAATCCAAGGAGAAGAATTCGGCTCTGGCCCTGTTCGTTTGTCTTATGAGCTGTACTATTTTAGTGAACGAACAATGTTTTTCTCTCACAACAAATCAGTGAATAGTATTTTCAACCATGACTTTTCATCAAAGCGAACAGGCTCTATGCCCATGAAGTGAGAAACAACACATACCCATGCATGTACACATGCACACTTATTCCATCTCTATAAGCACCTCTTAGAGACTAATATGCGTCATGATGTCAAATAGCACGCCATTTTTTTGTGAACATGCCTTGGTAAGTATTTCATTAAGAAAAAAGGAATTACAAGACACTGCTACAAGAGATAGCCCACACCATCTAACATTAGAGAAAAAAAATCAGCCATAAATGTAAGTTTCCATGTTGAGTCGTAGATTTGTTCCACCACAAATAGTCTAACCAATTTAAATCTAAAATAGAATTCACCGAGGTAGATGACCGATTTATTAGCAGGAGTGTCTCCGCTTCAGACGAAGCTTGGATTATAACGGGTACAAACAAAGCAGCCTGATCCCACCAGTATACAATCAACCCCTGCCACTGATCGCAAATCCGATGCGCCAGGAAGTTGACTGATAGATAAACATAATAGCAGGCGTCTGCTAAATAGTATTCCTGTTATTGGTATCACGCAAATTAATGCCAAAGGAGATTAAGGCTTGTATTGTACTAGTATCATGTTACAGCTAATTCATGTCATATCAACCTGAACCAATTTCCATCGGAAAAGAATTGTTATTAATTACAAAACAAACTAATTCAGAACCGTATATGAGAACCGCGAATGAAAATAATGGTGTTACAACCTGAAGTAGGTTACTGGTAATCAAAGAACAAATTAAATCGAATGGGATAAATGTAAAGTCATTTTTTTCCTATCCTCACGCAGTAGTATTTGTGAGCCCATGCATCAGTTAGCAGGGAGGTGGCAAGGTGAAGATGTCAATATTTCTTCCCCCACACTGCTCGCCGACGTAGCTGGCGATGGCGGCGATCACCGCCGCGCGGAAGTTGGGGTCCCCGACCGCCTTCTGCATGATGTTAGCCATCGGGACGAGGTTGCCGTGACTAGACGCCGCAGTCGGCGGCGGCGGACAGGCTATGGTCACGGCGCAGCTGGACGAATAGCGTTGCGGCGCCGGTGGCAGCACGGAGATGGGGAAGGCCAGCCGCGGCGCGCGTCGCATCTGGTGCGGAGAGCGGCGGCGGTAGCAGCAGTGCCTGCCGCATCCCGTGACGATGAAGACGACGCCGAGGCGGCGGACGACGACGACGCGAGCACGGCGGACGCCATCGCGGCGGCGTTGGGCGAGAGCGGGTGGTTGTGGACGCCGTCGTACGTGGTGACGAGCACGGCCGTGTCGCGCGCGCACCGCTGGACCTTCTTCCTGACGGGGCAGTCAGGCGCGCCCGTGCAGCGGTAGTAGGCGCGCGGGCACGGGTTGCCCTTGACCACCTTCTGCCCGTACTTCCGCCACTGGCACCCGTCGTTCACCGTGGCCGCGCTGCACCGCGCCCTGAAGGTGACGCGGTCCGGCCTCTGCTGCTGCTGCTGCAGTGGCTGCGGCGCCGACAGCAGCGCCTTCTTGCTTCCTCTGCCGCTGTCGTCGCTTACTATTACCACCCTCTGCCGCTTGGTGCCAGCAGAGCCGACGGCGAGGACCGGCTCATCGCCGCCGTCGCTGTCGCAGCGCAAACCGAGGGCCAAACCGATCCCGTCGGCGGCGGCGTTTCTGGCGTGCGGTCGCGCCTGTGTTGCATTGATCGCCTCCCCTCCCCTCGTGCGGAGACTTGCGCCGATCGCGTTCGCCGGCCCGAGGCTAAGTGACAGAAATGGCCCGGCCGGTTCGTCGCCCAAGTTGATCTGGACACATGCATATATATTTTTCAGTAACATGAACAAAGCAAAGTACTCGTACGAGGAGTTGCAGAGAGAAATGAGGGAAAAAAGGATACGTCAGTTTTACGTACGTTGTCAGCTGCGCCTCTCATCAGCTCCTCGAAAACAAAAGTCTTGAGCTCCATGAACGCTTGTACTTTCTATCTTCTCCTGTGGCTTTGCTCTTTTCTGCATATGCAACCTGCAGGCTCTTTTGTCTGTCTATATATAGACAGACAGTCGAACAACCGTGCCGTGTGGTCCTATCTACTACCTGAAAATGTCAAAGCTGACTTAAACTCCCTTTCAAAAAAAAAAGAAAAAAGAAAAAGAGCTGACTATTAAACTACTCCTAGTTGTACCCACGCTGCTCTGAGTTAAAAAAAGGGGAGATGAACAAGTGCAAAAACACGGCAAGGTAACGAACATCATTAGTATAACTATTATTAAGCGATTGATTAGTGCGTTAATATCGGCGTTAGAGACGTGACTGCTTTGGTCATCGGGGCTTGACGCTTTCTCCTTTGTGTCCGCGGCACGCTTGGTGCTGGTGGGATGGTTCGTCCTCGCGCACGCGCCTGCATGCACTGCGTGTGGACATGTGGTCTTCCTCAACTCGGTCCTGATCCGGCAGCAAGTTGCCAAGAAATTCAAATTCTTCGCATGACATTCAAATGGTGAAACGAGGACATAAATAATTCGTCTTAATATATCAATTTGCGGTTGGGGTGCCACCAAGAATTTTCCCATGTCGTCAAGAGTAAAATAATGGTTGATGTAAATCGTGGTCTACTGCTCTGGGTTAGGGCCCGTATAGTTGACCAAATCTGGGTACAACAATATACTGATATTCTCCCTCCCGGTCGAGCAGCACAAGGTTTAGATTTATAAATTCCGGTCGGCGGCGCCACACGTGCATGTTGTACTCCTAGCTACTCCTCCCACAAATAATGCCACAATGTCAAGTTTTAGTATCTTATAAGTTTAACCAATCATAAATAAAAAATATTAATATTATAATATCGAATAAATATTATTAGATTAATTATGAAATGTATTTTTATAATAAATTAATTTAAAGCTATAAAAATGAATATTTATTAGAAACTTAGTTAAATATAGACTATTTTAACTGATCTGCAATCTATAGTTGTATATTTTTTTTACGGAGGGAGTAGAGCACGTAACAAAGGTCTGCTCGTCCGCAACTTCCACCTATAGATATGCTCTTCATCTCTTCGGTAGAAAAAACATAAAAGCAGTGCCGTCTACGTCACAAAAATGTTTTACGTCACGATGAACGACTTGTAACCCTGACCGTACAAGGAATCGAGGCCTTTTCACCTCTGAATTTGACTTTGTCCCGACATGAAAAGTTCGTCATCAGCTTATAGTCGTCATTTCTTTTTGGCCTCACAGGTGCAAGTAGTAAGCGCTGACGAACAGGAAAGGATAGCGTAGCATCATGCATCACACCATTATTACTATTTTTTATAGATGCTGTGTGCCCGTCTTCCCTCTTTCCCGTGAAATGAAAACTTTCCAAACTGCCGGTCAGGTTGAGTTTCTGGTCGGTGTGTTCCTTCTTCCTGGTATGCAATTCTGACTTGTCTCTCCCCGTCAAGATTCCGTGGATTTACCATTCCACCGTACAGGGTACGAATTGGTATTCTACTGTAGGTTTTATTATTTTATATACGGAAATTCTACTAAAGAACTAGGAGTGTATTCTTTCTCTGGAATAATTTTGCGCGTCTTTTACTTTCACCTGTCACTTGTTACCGAACGTGTTGAAGGCTGGAATAACAATTCCATCTTCTTAATTAGTATCTCCGAGTACCTTGGAAATACCTTTGAATAGTTGAGGAAAAAACACTTTTGTTTTCCTTTTTTTTACTCACCAGCAAACATGTCCATGCGTTTGTGGTGCTTGTACAACGAATGAGCTAACTATTTTTGTTGTATTTAATTGGGCTTGACCCTAACCTGCTTTAAATCAAATAAATTCCAAGCCCCATAATAAATGCTAATCTAATAAACGATTAATCCTACATGTGTGAGCTATTTTATGTACTTGTTGTGAGTTTAAGATAATGCAATGCAAGCCACGTCACTCCTCCATATCCGATGAGCTATTTTATGTACTTGTTGTGAGTTTAAGATAATGCAATGCAAGCCACATCACTCCTCCATATCCGATGACTATTTTAGCACTACCTATTTCTCAGTCTTTAGGCCATCTACCACACCCAAGCCAAGCGAAACTAAGGGGTAACCAAGAGGTAGCAAAATTAGCATATAACTTTTGCTATGCCGTGCAACTACAAATCCTATTTGTCCACATATCTGACATAAGAAGCCACATTCTTCTAGAACAAGGTCAAAGATTATCCTAAGTCCTAAGAGGAGTGAAATTGGTGTAGATGGCTTCCAGAGATTGTCACACCCATGTATGTTTATTATGTGACATTTTAAGGTGACAATTCGCAACCCAAAATCATCCGTAGCCGAACAGAAAAATTGATTGATGAATACCACCGCCGTAGAGTATACAATTCTAATATGCTTTGTTGGCCGATGCAAATGACATAGATCCTAGTGCCACATGTGGATGGGACCCTATGACTTTATTTCTTTTTATTTTTTGTATTAAAAAGAAGCAAGATTAAATTGGTTAACACAACAACCCCAAATTTGACAATACCATCATCCATAAAAGCTTTTGTTATTTGATTCAAATGGTAACGTGCATGCTGATCAACTTTGGTCTTTTTGCAAAACATACCAAGTTGATTGTTTGTTGCATGATGATCATGGAAGAAATTTCAACATTCGTGAAAAGTGGCTCAACCCTTTCAGCATTTGTTTGGAGTAGGATCTAGAAACATATGTAGGACACACAATCCACACATGCACCATGTACCATAGCCAAGCCAAATACCACACCCAAGCCAAGCGAAACTAAGGAGTAACCAAGAGGCTGTCGCAGAACCGACCAATTTATAAGAGTACAAGTACAATGGCAGCCCGCAAGCAGTCGCACTGTCCTACTTGAACCCATATAAACCCGGTAGTCCGTCGAGTACCACGACGGGTCTCGATAAACGATTTACAACAACCAAGATCGTACATGATTCAACATACATGCCACATATTACATAAAGTTCACATATACATTTCTCCATCAGAGTACGAATAAAAGTTATTACAAACCGAGTTTGATAGATAAAAGCGGAAGCAAATTAAGTTTGAAAGTAAAGTTTCCAACATAGTTTAGTACAATGCCAAGATACGATCACGGTCCACAAAAAGCATGTAGAAGGATTAATAAGAAGCCTGCCCAAGGCTTACTCCTCATCCACAACAGGATAGAAGCAACTCTTGCAATAACCATGATACACAGTGCCATATGCAACATGGGAAATAAAACCCTAAGTACGAGAAGGTACTCAGCTAGACTTACCCGTCATAAACCAGAAATAAAATGACTCCAAGGATTATGCAAGGCTGTATAAGTGGAGATAGCTTGACAACATTTTGCATAAAAGCAATTGACTTATTGTACAATTAGGATTCCTTTATCAATTATTTATAACTATCCATCTCTAGATTAGCAACTATCCTGTGCCAAACATGTGGTATATCCATTTAAAAGCATACAATAGTAACCATAACAGGTATTGTAATTCTATATTCATTCGAACCATCATGTTCCATAACACAGTTACTACGATGTTGGGACTAGCCAAGTTTCTCACTATCCGGGAGAGATGGCGATTCGAATCGATTTCAACCAGCTGGGAATTTATTCCTAACACAAACCTAGGTCTACCAGCCACGATAGCCTTAGGTCACCTTTGGTACAACTCAGGTACACATTTCGCGGGTCCGTACCGCGCCGCACAATCTGGAACACCAGATGCCAGGACGTTCAGGCCTAGCCTGCCCTTGGGCTCAGTCTGATCGTTCCCCGGAAGGAGCGCATAACAGAACGGGTCTTGGCCTGAGTTGAATTACTCGGCTTCGCGGTCGGAACGAGTTATCCGGCCAGCTAAGTGAGAGGCATGCGTTCAATCTTGTCAGAAGCGCCAACAACGGTACGGTCCTTAATCGACACAGACGGGGATAGATCCACACCCAAGACCTCCATGTCTTGTTGCTTCTCTATCGACATCCCGCCCGGTCTCCATTTACATTAACTATGGTTCTTTTCCACGATAGCAATTATAACCAATTGTACTCCGGTATCCACCTATATCTCGCAGGTGACAGGAAATCACCCGACTTCTACCGGTCTAAGCATGGCTAAGCATATATTCGATCCTGGACCTATACCGGTTAAAGGTGTAATAGCTGGACAAGAAATGTATATGCATCAAGTGGTTCCATTCAACTCTTATAACCTAATGCATCAATCATAAGTACTTAAGTAATCATTTATAAAATACTGGGAGACTTAGAATGCTCCAGGGCTTGCCTCGCAGAAAGGAAGTAGGGCGGTGATCAGGGCACTCCGGAAGCTCTTCAGGATTCTGCTCCTCGCCTTCGGGAGCTGCGGCTTGAGGATTCTCCTGCTGATCCTCTTCCTCTGCTTCGTCGAATTACAGCAACGTTATTTCTTCCTCCGATCCTAGATGCATGAATATGGCATAAGTATTACGAATGCATATATGTTAACAAGTGCACCATGTTTATTGAGTAGGTGAATATCTCTTCTCGATTATTTAATTACTACTTCCACAATGCATCTACTATATCACAAAACAACAGCTACTTGTTTTACTCATAACTGGAGTTCTACTAATCCAAATGCAGTGATCCTAGACTTTCCAGAAAGCTTATCAAATTATCTACAACTTTGTTATTAACCATTTTTACAGCAAACATCATCCCTATCATGCAACTTAGCAAACTCTAGAATCTGTCCGGAAACTATTCCAATTCGCATTATAAAGTAACAATACTTCAACTTCATATAAGTATTCAAACTTTTACAACCAAAAGTCTACCAACAGTTTAAGCATACCAAATACATCCAAGAAAACATAATGGTGAAGCCCAAACTATTTATTTAAATGTCTTTATTATTTTATTTGGACACATAGGTTAAATAATAAACCTATACCAAATATGCATCATAAATTCT